GGAAAGAGTACGGATTGAACCGGGAGGACGGCGAAGTGGAAGAGCTTCGTGGGTTGGTGGAAGAAGGGTACGACCTCCTCGGAACGCTGAACTGGACCGACCACCTTCCATGGTTGTCGGAGCTTGATCCTCAGAGAATCCGGTCCAGATGCTCAAGCCTCGTCCCGAAGGTGAACCGGTTCGTATCCAGGATCATCTCCGAACACCGTGAGCAAACCCTTGACTCTCCTCACGATTTCGTCGACGTTCTCCTCTCCCTCCACGGCCCGGATAAGTTATCCGACCTGGACATCATCGCCGTTCTCTGGGTATGTCTTTTTTCCTTCACTTAATACGTTAATAATATTTCGTAGAGGTTAATTACACAAGAAAAAGGGTATTTCGTTATTATTAATAAATGTTATTTGAAGTAATTTGAATGGACGGACTAACAACACGTGGCACTTTTAAAAATACAGGAAATGATATTCAGAGGAACTGACACGGTGGCGGTGCTGATCGAGTGGATCCTCGCTAGAATGGTCCTTTACCCAGTTATTCAATCAACGGTCCAGAAGGAGCTTGATCGAGTCGTCGGAAGATCAAGGCCCGTCGAGGAATCCGACGTGGCGTCTCTGGTCTATCTGACGGCTGTAGTGAAGGAAGTCCTGAGGCTTCACCCGCCGGGTCCACTCCTATCGTGGGCCCGGTTGGCCATTACAGACACGACCGTAGATGGGTATCATGTCCCGGCGGGGACCACAGCGATGGTGAACATGTGGGCCATAGCACGTGATCCGCACGTGTGGGAAGATCCCCTCCGGTTCAAACCCGAGCGGTTCGTGGCCAAGGAGGGTGAGGTGGAGTTCTCGGTTCTCGGGTCGGATCTCAGGCTCGCGCCATTCGGGTCGGGTCGTCGGATCTGCCCGGGGAGGAATCTGGGTCTGACCACTGTTATTTTTTGGACCGCAACCCTTTTGCACGAGTTTGAATGGGGACCGTCCGATGAGAATACCGTTGACCTGTCCGAGAAGCTGAGGCTCTCATCTGAGATGGCTACTCCTCTCTCTCCTAAACTGCGCCTCAGGCGCAGCTTAAGCGTTTGAAATAAATATGACAAGTATCTATGGACATAACAAACACACACACACACACACGTATCAGATTTTATGAGAATCCCGAGTCTTAGATATTAAGCTCCGACAACGTGGGAAACAATCTACCGTCCGACCATTCCATGAAAATTATATTTATATATCTTTGATCCGTTTGTTTGTTTGTTTATTTATTTACTACACTCGGACTCTGATTTTATTTTATGTGACACATGATAGAAGTGATTCATTGACTGATTAATTAATATTTTATAAGAATATTTAAAATCGTTAAAAAGTTATTGTGAAATTCAATAGATGACAAAATAAATCATATCGAAGCATATTTATGGGCACGATAAAAGACACGATCCTTATAGTGCCGATATATGAAGATGGGGATACCGACAGTGCAAAAGCCAACAAGCCAAAAAAAAAATAAAGCCTGAAAGGTCGAAAGGTTGTTTTCACATTTTTTGCCCAACCAAAGCCATAAATATTCGTTTCTTATTTTTAAAATTTTATTTAAAGCGGTAGATTTGATGTCATCAGTCTCTTCATACCACGATAATAAAATCATTATTCTATTTACCATATAAAATATATACACACACGTGTTTGTTTGTTTTCTTTTGATCCCGGGTCAAAATGATTATAATATCTTAGTTATCTATAAATATTGTAAAATATTCTGCCTTGGATCTTAGATTTAAATTTTGACGTGATTATGTAAAGATATTTGTATTAATATATACTTTTGTAACAAAAAGAAAACTAGTCGGATGGAAAATTTCCAATATATTTTTTAGAAATTTCAACGACATGTGTTTGTTTGAATATAATTATAGATGGCAGAGGTGGACACGGATCGAGTATTTGTGTGTTTTTGGTGATACCAATTTTTGTTTTTAGTTTTCACGAATTTTATAAAAATATTATCTTTATCTCGTAATATCCGGATACCTATTTAACGGATATCAATGACTAAAATACGGGTACCCCATAAATATCTATACTTGTATTAATAGAAGTATAAGAACAATTTTGTCTTTTCATATATATACGGGTATCCGTAAGTATCCCTTTTAAAAATATATAAAATCCGAATCCGAACTCATCGTACGTGTTTTTTCATCTTTTAATACTCGTTTTCGTTTTTATTGAATGTTGAATATCCGTTTTTCGAATATCTGTGACCTATCAAATTTGGATAACAGATTTAAATGTCCAAGCCTAATAGATGATTGCATATTATCTTGCAATATGCGCAGATTCGGCGGGACATCGCTTTAAATGCATTGCAGCAACTTCAAATTTTTGATGATTACTTTGGGGATTAAAGATTTTTTAAAAAGTGACTAAAAACAAAACAAGGTAGCAAAAGGGTTCAAGATTTTTAGAATGGGTCGGTCCATAAAAAGACTGCATGCACCGGTTAGCCCTAAATTCGAAAAAAAAGGTGATAACTAAAGCACACCTAACGATCTAAAATATAATTGGAATGAACAATTTTCAATTATATATCATTATCCAATGATCGTTTTTAGCAACTAATAACTCATAACCAAAAACGAGTTGCATGTCTTTAAAACTTTGCCTTAATTTAATAGACACCATATTGTCTTTTATGAATGGATTTTTAGTAATGGATCTATATATATATATATATATATATAAAATATTAGAATATTCCTAGTGATATAGTTTGTATGAGTTTACTGATTTTTAAAGTATAAAAATATTTTCAAATTTTTTTTATTAAAAACAAATATTTTATAGATTACTATAAAGATGAATAAATCCATATCAGGCAGAACCTAATGAAGAAAGCTTTTTTCACTTTATAAAGAATCAATCAGTCAGACCAAAAACCAAGTTGCAAATCCCTGTTAATCCACAATTATCGCTTTATATATATATATATCCCATTATTTATTAAAGGAGATATGACCGCCAACGATTTGGAAGTGTGATTCAAACATAAAACACTAATAAATTTATCTGCCGATGAAACAATATAATCTAAGGTCGTGCGAAATTCGACTATGAAGTTCTCATGAGGATTACGGTACCTTAGAACCGAACCAAACAATACGATATCGTTTTCATCCAAAAATTTCGAACGGTATTTTTTTTAAAAATCGATTTTTCTAGGAAACGAATTGAACAATTTTAAACCGAATATCAAATCGTCCACCGCTAGTACCTATATGTACGTATATATATTTTAGAGAGAGAAAGATTGATGAGAAAGTGATGCATATAGTTTGATTAATTTAATAATATATGTATATAGGCCGGAGATCTCATAGGAACATGGCCTAAACTGTTACAAAGCACAGTAGAATAGGCCCGGCCCAATCGGCCCAAATAATTGAATATTTCCTTTTCTTATGGGTCTATTTTTTTTAGTTGTAAACATGGCCTTTTCTTTACAAACCATCTCAGAATCATTCGGCCCAATAGGCCCAAATTTGAAACCCAATATTTGTATCAGAACAAGAAAAATCATGATAGGAGAACATTGGTTTTAACCACCGCTAGACTATTGGACAAAGGATAATAGCTGTATAAAGTTGTATTTGTAAACATGAATTAGGTTTTAAAATATTATATATTATTGAATTTAGTTTTATATATTCGAAAAATATATATAGAAGTAAAAATAAAAAAGAAATATCGATAAGTAATAGATATAGGGTATCAATTTACTTCCGAGGCTCGAAATCTGATTCGGTCCAATCCGAAAAATAGCGAGTTTCGGACATAAATTTTTTAGTAAAAAAATCAGTTTTTCGTATTTTGAGTCCTATTATTAATGGTTTGGAAATCCGATATTTTTTTTTCAAATCTTAATAAAAAAGAAAAAAATAATTTTACAAAGCAATTTGAGTGGACTGGCCCGACCCGATCCGATCCGATCCAAACTCGAAATATATAAGATTGGATTTAGAATTTGGTTATATAGGTCCGAAAAAAAATCGAACTGGTCTGAATCCGCCCGGACCACACTGAATAGATATCTTTTATAAAAAGCTATTAAATTTGGCTGTAATTATTAATAGAGAAAATAACATATTCTCATACAGATTTGTGTTAATGTTCTAAATTTTTATACTAATTTTTAATTCGATAGAAATTCATATAGAAATTCTTACAAAATAGAAAAAAAAACAATAAGCTTTAGTGTGTTCTAGAACTTTTTTTTTTTTTGATAATCCGAAAGTTCACCGAGCCTTTGGCCCGACTACATCTCCCAGATGACCGGGGAAGCCCATGTGAATGCCCCTCCCCACGCTTGGGTTTGGACTCAGGATGAGAGCATGCTTTGCATGTTCTCTCACCACTAGGCCACCCAAGGTTGAGTGTGTTCTAGAACCTTGTTATCGTTTTTAGAGTAAATGTAACACAACATTCATTGTTGTTGTTGTTGAATTGATAACCGTAGTGAAAAAACACAAATATGGTAGGCGTGGTGTATAACCTCACCTAAGACACCTTGCCGTGATGAAACCGAAAAGGAGAAATGGTCCGATAGCCAAAGGGTAAATTTGCTTATTAAAGGTTTAAGCAAATTATTGAAACTCATAACCTTTAACCTAATTAAATAATTAAAAATGTGGACGGTCCATATTCATGAATGAAATTAGCTGCACTTGATCATTCACATCGCAAAAAGCTTTCTTTTTCAGTGTTCTCTTTCAGCCCAAAAAGCCTCATGTCCTGTCACGTTATTTTAATTATCATACACTTCTAAATGCGACTTACGGTTTCGCTAATGATTAATTAAAAATTATAATTACAGACTATATTCTTACAAACCCTTTTTTCTTATTATATTTCATAAACGCAAAGACTTTCGGCGGGCGAGAATTTCACTTTGGTACATATCCTCAGCCGAAGAGAATGTCGATACCGAATATTGGCACGTGATTTGATTTTATTATTTCATTATGTAACTAGGAAACGGATCACGATATGTTCTTAAACAACGTCACACGTAATATAACTTAAATTAATAATAATAATAATCTAAACTCAAATGAAAAAAAAAACCCTCGAGGTTTTGAAAGGGCCCTCTCCTCTTCCTTTATACAGGTTGTTCGTATTTTTTTATTAACAATAATGATGTTCGTGGGGTTGGTCGTATTTAATATTTGAAAATATTCCCAAAAAAACCGCAATTATATTTGCCACATTAAGTTGGCTTCTCAAGCTTGTCTTAAATATAGGGATGGTTGAGACCATTCATGGAAATATTAAGTTTCCATGTAAAATATTACGCGCATTTTTAAAGTTTTACCACTTATGATATTCAGTAAATTATTATGGAAACAACAAATAAATAATCCTTTATCTATGAAAATTTAACACAGGTTTCCATATGAGATAACGTACATGCATGACGTGAACAAAGTTGGTCAATTGGCAATTCAGATGGTAAAAAAACGTAATTATAGCAAAATTGGTTAAACCAAATCTCTAGATCTTCTGTTTCAACAAACAAACTCTAGCGGTAAAACAAAACGCCGTCAGCAAATTTAGTGAAATTCCGAACTTGCCCTCATAGGTTACGTCATCGTCGCCTCCCTTTTTAACAAATAATCAAAACAAATAAAAAGACCGCGTTGCTTTTTCCGGCGCAGTTCTAGAATCCCCCCACAACTCTGCTTCCTCTCTCCTTCAGGAATCGGAATTCTCAATCTCTTCGCATATTTATCGTCTCCCTCCTCAAACATGCCTTCGATTTCGAGCTCTCGATTTCGGCGTCATCGGAATTTCTCTTTTTTGTCAGTGTATATATCCGATCATCGTGGAGTTTAGACAGGTTCGACTCGGGAATTTTCGGGAAATTTTCATGGGGATTCTCCGGGACTCGATTCTCTTGTTGATGGTCGTGGGGATTGTGCTGTTCGCAGTTCGGATCGTTTTGTTCAAATCTGGATTGATTTTCATGGTGAAGAAATGGCGGAGAAGGATCGTAGATTTGTTCCATGTTTACCAGTTGTACAAGGTACCGGAATTCAACGAGAGTATGCAGGAGAATCAGCTTTACCGGAAAGTTTACGCCTACTTGAATTCTTTCAGCTCGATCGAGGATTCGGATTTCACGAATCTCTTCACTGGGAAAAAATCGAACGAGATCGTTCTCCGTCTGGATCGCAACCAGATCATTGATGACGAATTCCTCGGCGCCAGAGTTTGTTGGATTAACAGAGAAGATGAAGACGGAGCCAGGAGTTTGGTGTTGACTGTTCGGAAGGCCGATAAACGGAGGATTCTGCGTCCGTATCTCCAGCATATACACACAGCGTCGGATGAGCTTGAACAGAGGAAGAGGGAGCTGAAGCTGTTCATGAATGTCGGAACCACCGGCGACTATGATAGGACAACGCAGAAGAACGGACGGTGGAGATCTGTTCCGTTCACGCATCCCTGCACCTTCGACAATATCGCCATTGAAGCGGATCTAAAGAACAAGGTGAAATCCGATCTGGAATCTTTCCTCAAGGCCAAACAGTATTACAACCGGCTCGGCCGCGTCTGGAAACGGTGCTACCTCCTCTACGGCCCCCCCGGCACCGGAAAATCCAGCTTCGTAGCGGCGATGGCGAATTTCCTCGATTACGATGTTTACGAAGTCGATCTCTCGAGAGTAACGGACGACTCGGATCTCAAGATGCTTCTGTTACAGACGACAAGTAGATCCGTGATCGTGATCGAGGACCTCGATCGGTTCCTCTCGGCGAAATCAACGAGTGTGAGCCTATGCGGGATATTGAATTTCACGGACGGAATCCTCAGCTCCTGCTCAGTGGACGAGAGAATCATGGTGTTCACGATGACCAGGAAGGAGCAAATTGATCCGGCGGTGCTGCGACCGGGTCGAGTCGACGTTCACATCCACTTCCCGTTGTGCGATTTCACGGCGTTCAAGACGCTGGCGAACAACTACTTGGGAGTGAAGGAGCACAAGCTCTTCCCTCAGGTAGAAGAGATCTTCCAAAACGGAGCGACTCTGAGCCCGGCCGAGATCGCCGAGCTCATGATCGCGAACCGGAACTCGCCGAGCCGCGCGGTGAAGGCCGTGATAAGCGCGCTGCAGACGGACGGTGACCGGAGGGGGAGCGGAAGGCGTTTGAATATGGATAAAGGAGGGAGGAGGTCGGCGGGGGAAGTGGGCGAGATGAGAGGGCCACTGTGTGGCGGAGGGAGTTCGCCGGCGGTGAAGGAGCTCAGGAAACTGTATGGGCTTTTGAGAATCAAAAGTAACAGGAAATCCCAGTCGTTCGATCTCAGGGACGGCTGATTTTCGTTCGGGAGTCATTTGATTACGTGGCGGATTATGATTGGCTGAATGAGTCTGAATAATCGTAGACTCGGAGGATGTTGCTGCTTAGTTAATGTACACTGTACAGACCGTTTCATATGTTGTGACTCAGAGGCTCTCGGACCTTTTTTTTTTTGGATTCGACTCGTCCAACTCAGAAACCAAACAAACAAACCGGTTTACGAGTTCGAACTCATATCTCCTTAAAAAAAATTCAATTCAATTACAATACGAATAATTGATTTGTGTAAATCCAACACGAGTTATAAAACCCATAAAAATAATTCATTCATGATTCCATGAAATAAAATAGTAAATTTGAAAAAAAAGACAGTTCGTCTACATTGACTGATCAAATGATTCATTCCACTCGTTTTTTTTAATTAAAAAAAAATCTTGAATCATATGAAATTTCCAATTGTATTGGGCCCAAAATGTGTTTTGACCATATCCATAAACCTCAATATTGGGCCGCGAACACCACCGACTCCCCAACATATTTAGCTAATTGTGAAGAAAAATTTCATCGTAAGTTGAATTGCTTAGATTTGGATTTGGAAAGGGGTGTCAAACTAGTCCGCTTGTATCGTTTTTGACTCGGTTTATTTGGCTCATATCGTTTTGGACTCAACTCGTTAGGTTCGTTTAATAACGAGTTAAAAAAATTTCGGTTCAGATCGCTCGTCAGTTTTTCGATCTGAAACCAACTCGATTCAAAGATATATAATATTTTTTATTTATATTTATTTCAAAATTAACTATAAATTTAAATAAAAACTTAAAAAGTTAATAAAACTCTAATATCATAAACTACATAAAAAATATTGGTTGAACTTTCAAAAGATAAAAAATAATCTAATAATAGTTCAATAAAATATAATTTAAATAGATAATAACAACAAAATATATTTCAATAACATTTTCATATATATACTCTAATTTTTATTTAATATTTTAAATTATTACCACCATAATAATTAGAATATTTATAATATCATATGAATGATATGAAAAAAGAAAATAAATTTAAAATTATGTTGGAGTTTTTTATATAATTTTTAAAAAAAAAACTAACTCGTTGAGCAGTTCGCCGAGCTGGCTCGTTACGATCACTTGTTCATGAGTCTGACTCGTTAGACTCATTTTTTAATGAGCTAAAAAAATTTTGTCTTATATCGTTCGTTTTCTAACGAGTCGGACTCATTTTGACGGCCCTAGATTTAGACTCCTTTGTGTTCCTTGTAAATTTAGTTTAATGGTTAAGGGTCTCACTGCTCACGTTTGTCTGTCAAATTTGAAGAATCTTTTTTTGGGGGGCAGATTCTTTCCTTAACTCTAATTTCTTTGGCTACGAGAAACAAAACAGCTTTTCCCATTTGTTGACTCCTTCCATTCATTCCTACCATATACATATATATATATATATACGTATTCAGAGAATACATGATAAAGTGTGGAATCTGATTCCGCATCTCAAGGCATTAACGAATCGCACTTCATCATGCCTTGCTTTCCTTCTGCTGCGTATGTGTTCCTCTCACCGTTTTGTTCATTAATCTGTGGTAACATGATAGAACTGCTTGCGCTGTTCTTTTGCATTATCCGATAAAAAAAATGTCTACACTAAGCATACTTAAGATTTGATTTGTAGTATCGTATATTTTATTATCAAACAAAATACATTGACATTCTAATAGTACTTTTCTAATCTAAAATAATATAAAAAGTTAAAAAAAAAATAATGTCTATATAAATAAAATAATAACTACTTTTTAAAACTTTACAATAGTCAGCAACTTTGTGGACAGTGTTTTCAATACCAAATCTTCATCAAATCAAATGCTCTTAATTCTGTAATGATGTAATCATGTGTAGCTTATTCTACGTACTAATTAATATATAAATACGCAAAAATAAAAAAAAAACAAAGTAAAAGGAGTTAACGATATATGATATATGAGAGCACGCATAAAGTCAAAAGCTAATTGCATTAAGAAAGCAAAAGCTGCCTCCACGGCTATTCACTTCCCCAAAATGCTCGTGTCACTTGGCTCATGCGATACGTCGGGATTTGATCATCATGTTACTTTAATTTCGGTCAAATTTAAGGGAAAAAATCGACATTTTTTTTCGCAATTACAAAACGGATATAATATTAACAAGTCATTCGTTTCATGTAAATGTTTAGACCAAAAATTATACAATTTTTTATTTGAATAACAGAACGGGGGATTGAAAATACTTAAATTTATTTTTGGATAGAAGCATTCATGAATACAGATAATGTTCCACAGAGCCTCGTATTCACATATTCTTCTACTCGCCCAAATTCAAGATCACAAGCAAAGAAAACACTGATAAACAAAAAACCCAAAAAAGGAAAATAAAAATAAAAAATAAAAAGAGAGATCAGAAAAAGACTATGTGAGCTAACTTTAATCAAAGTACCCCATGCGAGAAAAAAGATAATGAAGGGGAATGTAAAGGGAAGAAGAAGAAGAAGGCTAAGTCATGTCTTCACCACGAAGGCCCTCCTGTAGTACTGAACATTCCACTCCAATAAGCGTTAGTGCTTGAATTGGCTTGATTCTTCTGTTGTTGATGATCATTCTCATTGCTCGAGAGCGCTTTCATGTCCGAAAACGGAAACAGAACCCTTCCCGATCCATTTATATCCTCGTTTGTTTCATGAGACCTGTTGTTACCGTTGCTGCTGCTACTGTTGTGTTCGATATTCTCGCTGAAGAAAGAGAGGTTGCTTGGCTTGTAATCCGCCACTGTCGGAAACCCTGATGAAGAGTAAAGAACTGTGTCTGAATCGATCATGGGACCAGGCATGAACGCGTTGAAACCTCTTGAAGAAACCCCGGTTCCCAGGAGCTCGAGAGCTGAAACAGGAGACGTCGACGAAGCGTAAAAAGAAGACGGAGAACAGTTCGGGTTTGGCATTTGAAGAATCCGAGACATGTTGTGATGATGATGGCCGTCTTGCAAGACAGGGAAAGACATCAATTTGAGATCTTGAGAGGACCCTTTTTGCTGTGCCGTCGACGTGGACATAGGGTTTTGGCCGGAGAAGAGAATCGGTGGGTTTAGATCCGGTAACCTTGTGGTCAGACCAAGTGATGAAGACGACGACGAAGAGAGAGTAGAGGCTGACGTGGAGAGGATTGCCGAAGGAGATCTCTTGTTCCTCCTCGAGCTTCCTCCGACAGGGACGTTTCGGAGGGAACCACCTTCGGTCCAATACCTCCGACAACCTTTGCAGAAGTACCTTGGCTGTGTGAGACTGTAGTTGTTGTAATAGCAAAACTTGGTGTTTGTTGAGTTGCATCTCGGGCAGTTCAGTTTCTCCGGCGGCTTCGCTTTTCTCTCCACCCCCGGGGCGGCGCTGCCGTTTCCATCGCCGTGGCTGCCAAGAATGGTGACGGTGGTGCATGTCGGTTGCGCCGTGTTATTTGGAATTATCTGCTCCATGGCTTTTATGTTTATCATCTCTTGAAAACCCTACAATTTAATTAGTCTTTTTTTAACATAATGGATTAATAAACCATATGTACTCATGCGATGATTAAAATGCACAAAAAAGGGGATAAAACCAGATCATGAATTTAAATTCCGCTTCTACTTGGATTAAGTAATTATATCTCTACGAAAACTAGATGAAGAAATGGACGCAACCAGATCATTAATTTGATAAACCGTATGTATCATGCGCTAATTAAAAATTAAAATGCAGAAAAATGATAAAACCAGATCATTAATTTGAATTCAGCTTATACTTGGATCAGTCAAGTCTCCAAGATCTGCGCAAACCAGATGAAATGGATCTAGAATATACGTACATGTACATAGGCCATATACACGCATATGTTTTGTATCAAACCCCAGTGTAGATGTACATGATACTGTAAGGACATGCATGCTGGAAACATGAAGGAAATCAAAAGGCGTACTAGCTAGGGTTTGATGCAAAATTTAAAGATGTAAAACTTGAAAAGGGAGTAGAAACAAAATTTAAAAGAGGGTGGAACTTTGAACCCAACAACAAACGGTAAATAACAAACAATACCTTTTTTCAAGACGCTCCAATTTATGATTAACCATGAAAACTTGCAAACTTTAGAAAGAGTAAATATTAATGGAAACATGTGAAAGGAAGCCCTACATGACCAAAATTTAGCTTTGATTCATATCCATACTCTATAGATACAAAGCAAATATATGAATATAAAGATGTAATCTTTTTTTTTTGTTTGGTCATGGAAAAGTTATGGAAAGAAAGAGAAAGGCCATATCAGATGAAAAGGGAAAACAAAGAAACAAACAGATCCGGCAACACCAAGCTCTTTTACGCACCTGCGTCCATTTCGTAGCGTCCATGAATTCCGACAAAGAGAAAGCCAGAGAGAGAGCGAGAGAGAGAGAGAGAGAGAGAAAAGGCAAAGAGAGAATGTTTCCGTATACAGTTTTTTTCTTTCCTAAGCGATGGCTCTATGTGCATTGGCTTTCACTTTATGGATGATGAAAAAAGCAGAGGAGGAAGAAGAGAAGAGGCCATTTATATATATATATATATATATATATATATATATATATAAAATGATTATGAAAACACACACAAAAGCAAAAGTAGGGTTTGTTGTTTTTGACTAGTGATGATGTCTCAAGACTCATGCACCCTTTTAAAAAAAAATATTTTTCAAGGAAAAAATGCGTCCTTTTTTTTAACACTATTATTATCATCACCGTATTATATCATAATACGCATTAATGTGAGTGGAATTATGAGTTGTAGGCTACGGGTGGCCTCCCAATTTTTTGCCATTGGATTTTTATATGATCCGTCAAATCGCCCTGTAAATTTTTAAATTATTATTTTATTCATTTTTATTCATTGCACCACCAATTTCCAAATCTTTAATTCAACAATTACAAGTAGTTCCGTGGGTCATTAACTACTAGTAACTTTTATTTATTTTTATTAAAGATTAATCCATACGAATATTTGTCAATAAATTAGAGAGAGAGTGTATATATTATTGATCAGATTATTGAAGATGGAAAGAAATTAAAATAAGCGAAAATAATTAGGACAGTTGAGGCCAACTATAACCACAGAACCTTTTCAGAGAAAAAAAATAACACGAGTTTAACCGACCCGTCGTACCATCCATAATTTATTTTAATAAATTCACCATCATTCTAAGACATTTATCACGTAATATCCGTCCGTACATCTACCAATGGTCCAATATGCACAAGAATAATTAGGTTAAAGAAATTTTCAATAGTTTGTACACGTAAAATTTAGTATGTATACAGTGATCGTATATGATGATTTTCATTTAAAACCAAGACTTTTTGGAATAATAGTATTTTTTACGAGTACTTTTCATTTATAAATTTAATATTTTTTGTGTCTTTTTAACCTGTTTTTAATTTAATAATTGTTTAAAAAATATTAAATTTTAGGATCTAAATCCTTTTAATACATATATTTTTTTGGTAAAAGTTTTAATGCATATATTATTTTGTATCGTCACCTTGTGTGGCAGTTATGGTATGTATGCATCATCACTGATGTTTTGACATTTTTTATAATATATTATATCAATGATTTGACCAATCAAATAAAAAGTTTGTGCATTAAAGTATATAAAAATGTAATATTTACATTTACATTTAGGGAAAAAGCTATGATATTAAATCGTAAGATGAAAACAATACAAATAAAAGAACACTATTATCAGAAACATTTTCTTTAAAAGAATCAAATCTGGGTTTAGTACAAAAAAAAAAATCTGGGTTTCAACTGTTATGTATATATACATATGTACAGAGAGAGAGAGAGAAATATATAGCTCAATACTTGTTATTGTTATATCAGTGGGGTGAATTTAGACTTTAGAGGAGAGAGTTTGAAAGATAAGAGAGGGAGGAGGGTGGGAGAATCCGACAGCAAGGGACAAAAAAAGAAGGGGGAGATGGGCCCTACATCAGGCGTGATTGAGATTTTGCTTTACTCTTGATGTTGACACCTGTTATCTCCTTCCCTAACAGGGCAAAATAGCAAAAGTACCCTTACTTTGCTACAAAGACTTCATGGTATACCCTTCAAAACCCTAAAATTTTGAAAAAAAAAATAAAAGGAATAAAAGACATAATTAACCCTCTCACAAAAGTAACGTGATACTCCTCTCTTCATTTTGAATTCACCTCTCTTGTTTTCATTCTTTGACAACTCTTCATTTCTTTCTTAACTTTCTCTCTCTACTCTTATCTTTCTCTCAACTCTTCCATTTTCTTTCTTCTCATTTCATTTTTATACATAGAAAAACAAACGAAAAATGATTATTTCGTTGAGCATATCTTCACCGACGACCTCATATCTTCTTCTTGAGTCGGTCTAAGACAGAACAAATGACAAGAACCGAAGGTAAACTCATTAATACAAGAGATTGGTTTGATGCATAAACTTTGTGTTTTGTGTTTGCGTTTTATGATTTTTAGAGTGAATCGTGTGGTTTTTTTTATTTATGAAAATGAGATAGATGCATAGCAAATCTGTCGAAGAATATGTAAGAGGCGCATATTAATTCCAAATATTTGTTTTGGTCACACTGGTCACAATGGTCACACTGGTCACACTGGTCACACTGGTCATACTAGTCATACTGGTCACACTAGTCACACTACTCCCACTGGTCACACCGTTCAAAATTTAGTTTTGGTCACACTGGTCACACCGTTCAAAATTTAGTTTTGGTCACACTGGTCACACCGTTCAAAATTTAGTTTTGGTCACAC